CTTCCTTATACTATTTCGTATAAATTAGAACGGAAACGATAACCTTTTACTCTATTCAAGACTCTTAGACGCTAAAAATAACTTAAGAATTCAATTTGAAATATTAGAATTGAAAGTTGTACCAAGAATATCATTTCAAATATTTGAAAATTGTTCCAAGAATATCATTTCAAATATTTGAAAATTGTACCAAGAATATCATTTCAAATATTTGAAAATTGTACCAAGAATATCATTTCAAATATTTGAAAATTGTACCAAGAGTGTCATTTCGAATATTAGAATTGAAAGTTGTACCAAGAATATCACTTTAAATATTAGAATTGAAGATTGTACCAAGAATATCACTTCAAATCTTCATTAACACTCTTGCAAGTTTCTTAAATTTATACATTTAAACTGATATTCTTGGTACAATTTTCAATTCTAATACTTGAAATAGAATTCTGCGGTTATTTTTAACATTTAGGAATTTTGAATAGAAAAAAGATAGCTGTTGTTGAAATCATTTGAAACTTGAATATTAATATTTTGCGAATCAACATTCTTCGAAATATACGAAACCTTCAACATACGAATCTAAATTATATATCGACTGCTTAAATAATATAAAAAAACGAAACTCCATACTACTATATTGCTGTTTAATTAATTAAATCATTCGTTTTCAACTTAATATTCCGAATACGAACATTTCATCTGATCGGTATTCGTCCGCAAAGGGTTAAGGTTGACTAGGATTCGTGAGAACGCGTTGAACTTGATCTCGTCCATGGCTATGGGGCCCCATGGTTCTTATCAGAATCCGGTGCGCTGAAAGCTGCACGCAGTGCGGGTCGATAAAGGCTTCCGATTCTAACGGCCGGTTTTCCGGCTGCGGGTAAACCGTAGAGCAACTTTTACTTTCACCTTTGAGGAAACGTGTGCCGCTCGTTACGGCAGGCTACCTTTATGGATCAATTATAATGCGTCGATTAATAATTTCGAAACCCCGCCGAACGTAAGTTCCGCCGATATTGTACGGCGGACCCCGGTTTCAGCGGTCGTTGCATCAATCGTTCTTGCTCCTTTTTTCTCCCTCCTATGAGCACACCGTTTCCGAATGACGTGTGAAATTAGTCAAACGTACCTGACGCAACGCGTGAATAGCAGGCGCGTAGGAAAAGTAAAAATAATTGTTTAGAAACTGACGAAATTGCTGTTGTTCCTGTATACTCATAGGAAATGAAACATTGGTTAGATACATTATTACCGGCGAATCAGAGGAAATGAATTTATTTTAAGTGTGGTTGACCATGCGAATCACGACAGTTATTACCTTGTTCATAAAGATTCAGCAATGACGGATGAGCAGGATGATATTACCTAACAAATCTCTTCTGAATTAACTCGTTTATCTGAATCTTCAGAAACTCCTCGTGAATATTTAACAAAGGTTTCTAATATAACAATTTCACATTGTTCAATAACAAACGGATAACAGTAGAATATTAAAAATTATTAATCTGAAACCTAAGAACAGAGAACTAGTGTTTTGAAATGCAACATATTAGATAACAAATCTCCCCTGAATTAACTCGTTTATCTGAATCTTCAGAAACCCCTCGTGAATATTTAACAAAGGTTTCTAATATAACAATTCCACATTGTTCACTAACAAACGGATAACAGTAGAATATTAAAAATTACTAATCTGAAACCTAAGAACAGAGAACTAGAGCTTTGAAACGCAACATATTAGATAACAAATCTCCCCTGAATTAACTCGTTTATCTGAATCTTCAGAAACCCTTCGTGAATATTTAACAAAAGTTTCTAATATAACAATTCCACATTGTTCACGAACGAATGGATAACAGTAGAAGATTAAAAATGACTACTTTGAAACCTAAGAACAGAGAACTAGAGCTTTGAAACGCGACACGTCCGCGAGTATTTAAGTATGTCGCTGGATATCAAATGGTTTTGAGGAGGTCCGGCAGGTCAATCGGTTAGGGCCTAAGCGAATTCGCTCCATCAGAAACAGGAATTCATATGCGTCCTATCAGCCGCGTCCCGACGAAGAGCGCAGTCCAAAATTAGCCGGTTGCTTACGCGTCGTCTGCGCACTCGTTAAGTCGCTCTCGTGACTTTCCCTCGAGTTTCCATCGAGCGTTAGTCACCTGGCCTGCTTGTTAGGCCAGATAACGCTGAAACCGAAGCATTCTTGTGAATTGCTGATCGTTGTCTTTCGCCGCGAACGCGTTACAGTGCACGATAATGTTAATCCGCCTCGTACGCTACGGAACGCTCCGTACAAACAATATACAGCGCTCGACAGCCTGGCATTCCAGCGTCTCTGACATTTCTAGCTAGATTGAGCACTAGGAATCTCCGTTATCGAGTGGACCTTTGTAACATCCTGCGACGGAGCATCGGTGGAAAAGCTGTCGGGAAAGTTTCGTCGATAAGCCGCTGGGAAAGGCTGCTTCCTCCTGGCCAACGGAGTTTTCGACTCGCGTTGAGTCATCGTTCCGTTGCAAAAGCCTCGACGTGGCGGTGGTCGCCGGAAACGTACGCATTAATTGGACCGTTGAACATTTCAGTGCTTTTACGGTTGAAAATAAATTCCATCGGCTTCGTTCTCGCCGATATTACGTATAAATAGACTGTGGAAATTTATGCGCGATCGTTATTTTATTATATATATAAATCCGTAAATACTTAACGTGTGTACGTGCAATTACGCTCCGAAATGCCGGTTACACGTAGATTTGCAAGAAAAGAGATCGATTAGACTGGCTTTTACAGAGATAACAGAGATTTTGTCAGAATTGCCGTGATCGAGGTACCGATTTTACGCAATTCTGCCAATTTCCCAGAGTCAGAGAGCGTAAAATCACGAGACACTCTTGAGGATTCAAATCGGACAGATTACCACGCACCGATTCCCCTAATCGCGCCGTTCGTTTCGATAATTCGCGGCTGCAGCCGGTGCATCCGTGTCGGATATCGGATTATTGTTACCACTGGCGACAGCGGAACGTCGGTCAAACGGAGTCGCTGATACAAACTCGATAGCGCCGATGAACTCTGACACCGTGTCGGGAACGTGACTAACGAGGCGCGCCTGTTAATCAACCGGCGGGCCGCGAATCTTTCTCTGCTCGGGAAAAAATTCGACTTTCTGAATCTTCCGTGTTTCATTTTCAGTTTACTCGAACTTCCAACAATTTTTCTAGGTGTTACTTCGAATATATTTCTATAAAATACATTGTTCTTCTTATCGAAATTAATACAATCTTCTAACAATTTCATTCAGCTGTAACATTAGACTTCGAATGAAGTTTGAACATTTGAATCAGAACTCGATGCAACGTTCCTCTTCGGATGAGTCCACGCGCTGAACTCCTTCCATCTCCAACTGCGTCTAAAACAAATCAGGCCACGCTGGCACACGAGACCAAGGGAAAAATAAAAGCGGAGAAGACAAGCCGGGTGAATCACCAGAGGATTGACTAATTGACTCGCGTTCGGCGCCGCCGTGTCACCAGCAGTTCACCGGTCAACGCGATTTACATAATCTGCTCGTCGAACGCGAAGTTTCCCGCGATCACTGGAATTTTCCACGCGTCTCAGGCATTAGTTGGTCGCTGCACTTTTATTTGAATTGCAAAATTGCGGCCGCGTTTCCATTCGTTTCTCTTCTGCGTTTATAGATAACGTCGGTATCAGTTTCTCGTTTTAATTTCCTTCCGAGCACGGAGTATTCTGTTTCATCGACGAACGAATAGACAGATTCCTAGATTTTCTAGTTTATCTATAGAGCATCGACGTCGTGGATAAAGTTTCTGTCAGTTTCCGCCGAGGGCGACACGGGTATCGTCGCAAATTCCGAAAAAGAAGCATGATTTTCAAATGATACATTAATTTCAGAATAATCGTAATGAAATTTATTATAATTCTTTAGAATAACTTTTGGAAAAATTTTCTGCGATAGTTTATATATTTTTTTTCTTAAGTTTTGAAGTGTGATTTTGTGCCTTTCGTTGCGTTCATGGTACAACGTACCCTCTTCATGGTAAATCCAACCCCGCGTGTCGAACACGCGAGTTTCACCGTCCGCGTGTTTCGCCGCGGAAATAACGCGAGCGTTGATTAATGCGGGCATTCCAGCGAAATTCTACCGCGTCCAATTTCTGCATAACTCTGGGCCAGACATTGTTTCCACGGGGAAAGGAAATCGATTCCCGCAAGTCGGGGAGGCTCCCATTCATCTTAGGCGGTAATTAAACGGGGAAATTAACCGGCCGACGTCGTCGGCGGAGAAAAAATGGGACGCCAGGAAACACGGTTGCACGCTGGATTTATCGTTGGTCAAATCGATCCATTGCACAGGGGGGTATTTACCCGATCTGCCCGGCCAAAATTATAGACAGGCTTGTATCGACATTTTTCGAGGAAATGTGAGGGTGTAATATAATAATATACAATAATATGCAACTGTATGGCATGTAACAATAAATTTATTAATATAGGTTACATATATTTTCATATAAATATATAAAAAGATATATATTTGTATATCATATGTTATGTGATGTAGTATGCAATAATATATGATATATGATAACACATAAATAGTATATAATTGTTTCATTTAATGACTTTCTGCCAATTTTCCGTATGAGCAAAATTTAATTACAATAGTTCCGTTGATAAATTGCTGAGGTTGAAAGTGATGTAAAGTTATATGAAAAATATTTGTTTCGAAGTATTAAAGCTAATGACTTAGTGGCTTTTAACCTTTTGCGAACGGATGTCGACATTTCGACGAGATGAAATTTTCATATTTGGAAGACTAAGTCATACACAGATGATTTAATTACTCGAAGAGCAAGAGATCAGCACGTAGTTTCCTATCTTTCTATTGTTTAAGTAATTGATATATAATTTCGCTTCGTCTGTTGAGGATTTTGTATATTTCAGAGAATCTTCGTCCGCAAAGGGTTAAAACGCTGCGCCGTGATAAACAAATCAGTCTAGAACAAAAAGGCGGATGTGTGCGGAGGATTTTATGTTTAGATAACAATCTCAGAACCTTTCTGAATACTACTGTGCTTGAAAGAATGTCGGGACGTCATGATCTACAACAAAATCACTCAAGTTGTACGACTGTATGAAAAATCGGCGATATAATAGTTCTGTTAACACTAGAACTACCGCGGATTTAAAACAATTGAATGTAATCTCTATAAAAATTGTAACAATAAATTATTTTCGGTTTCTTGAAACATTCAGTATAGTATTCAAGTGAAGCTATTTATTTTCAAGATCATTTCAGATATTCAATGCTTTTAAGATACCAATAACTGCGAAACGAAACAATCGAAATCAGTCATTTTGACTGTTACGGTAGTTCTAGTGTCAAAATGTCAGTATTTGCATAAAGATTCATGGTAACAAGGTAATGAACTATTAAAAGTAGAGTGTATACTTACCGGAAAACTTTGATACTGAAGAAAAATTCGCACAACTGTTCCGAAACATAGAAAGTGTCATGAAGAATATTAAAGGTAAAACACGTAGTCGAAGAATGTCTAACTTTCAAGATAACTCAGCGCTTTTCGGATGCGCGAAGGATAAAAAGCTTTGTAGGACATTGTTCCTCACATATTCAGCTATCTGAAACAGCAACAGTTTTTCGGTTGAGATAAAACTTTTAAAAAGGACTTTTGGCTAGCTTGATCGCGCTCACTGTCCGCTGGTCCGATGCTCGACGATCCGTGAATCCTTTCTATCTCGGCGGAAATACTAGGTGATTATCTATCTACGTCATCTGCGCGGATGACGTGAATTTCGAATGCATCGCGATAGTTCTTTGCACTCAATGACAGTGAATAGGACTGTTATAGTAATCGTCGTGTTAAAATCAAACCGATGAGTTTTCATTATAGAAACTTCGTTTAAAAACTGAATTATCAAATGAATTCTATATTTAAATTACTTTTTTTACTTAATTGTCTGAACCAATCATACTTGGTCCCTATTACTTCAGACAACCGACGCACTGTATTTCAATTCAAGGTTCACATCAAAGTAACGAGAAAGATAGCGATATACTTGGAAACAAAGATACTCTTTGCCAACGAATATGAAGGCAATTGAGGAAATTCGTAATCAACAATCGCGATTCACCGAGAAATGAAATATTATTTTCCTAATTGCCTCACTACATCGTGCATCGCGGCACATTATTACCAACTCCAGAACTCGTATCTCTGCTGCACTCCCTCCTCGATCTGCTATAATCCCGTGCTAACGGGCAGCTACGATGCTCGTGCGCGGTCCTCGTTACGTAAACACGATTTAACGGTCAAGAAGTCCGCGACGACGGCGTTTCCGGTGTTACCGTACACCGGCCGGCCGGAAACCGCATCGCCGGCCGCGCCGGCGGCGGAACGAAAATTACAAGCATACCTTTTATAAAGCTGGCCCGACTGATAGTGGGGGTGGCGCAATGCGGCTACCCTGACTTGCATCCCTAACGGCGGACCAACACGTCGGCCGAGATCTCTCTGACGGGACACGTCGTCTGACGTTCCCCGGATTATGCCGGACACACGCCACCCTTCGAAAACTTGATACGGTGTCCGGGGAACGGTGACAGTTTTCTGGTGACAGCAATGACAAGTGGATAACAGGAATCGCGCACTGTCGAATATAAATGGAACAGACGAAGCGACAATTATAATTACCGCGCGCTCAATGGAATCATTCAACGAAATTTATCCGCGTCCCAATTGTCAATGATTATCGTAAAGGGAATAGGAGAATATGCAAATGCCCACGATTACGCTTCCTTTTATTCATACGAGCTTCATGTTTATTAATTGGACAGCCACGATCAGATTTCGTTTTTCAAATAGAAACGCGCGCACGCCTCGGTTTGTTCATTAGTGCGTTCGAATATAGATTCAAGCCATTTGGTCGTTCCGTGGGTATCGCGCATACAAATTTTCAAATAAAATCGACTAAAAAAATGAATATTCTAGTATCTAGAATTTTTAGCGTAGGTTAAAGTATTTTTAAGAGTAAATATAAGAATGAGTGTGAGTGAAGGACAGGCTGTAAAACAGTCGAGGGAAAGTTGCCTGTACAACGTCGCGGATCCAAGATTGGAGGGCCAGCTTTCCAGGGGTGCATCCGAGTGTTTGTGATGAGTGCGAGTGAGAAGAATGCTTGTGGGGGAGAGAATGATTTTTGGGAGAGAATGGCTGTAAGAGAGTTGCGCGAGAGAGTCGTGTGTTGGCCTCTGTAGCATTGAGTTGTACTTTTTACGTGTTGTTCTTGTTGTTTCCATATTTTATTAACACGTTGAATGCCATGAGGGTCACCGGTGACCCCCAACCAAATAGGATTACTATAGTTCATTTCAATTTAACGACGATTAATTGACAACATTTCTGTATTATAGATAATACTACATAATGCAGTGACATTCAGCTAAATGAACATCTAATAATAGTAATACAATTCAATAAAATGATTTGATATTATATTTTCCCCATTTTGTGTATTTTTCTCTATGAAATCGTGCAGCGTTCAACGTGTTAAATACATATATTTATTTCTAGTTCTCGATTACTCAAGATGCACTCTTTCATTATCTATAATATAGTAACACTATAATATTTTATACATTCGATGTCATTGAAATTTTCTATGAATCTTCGAAATGTTTAAATGGAATTTCAGATGAAACGAAGTCGAATTGGTCTGCGAGATCGCTGAATCTCGCGCGGAGATTCGCCTCGGATGGTTGAATCCTCGGCGCGTCCTCTCATCAACGCATCGGCTGATGGGAACGCGAACTGCGAGATCTCGTTTCACGGGTCGGGGATGGGGAAACTTTCAAGCGACGTCCTCGTCGGATAGAGAGGGCGAGGATCGAGGCTGGGCGGTGAGGAGGTTGGGGCTGGATAGGTGGAAGATGAACGTTAAAGAGGATCCTTCAAGTTAGCCTCTCTCGGCTGGGGTCGCGCGATGAAAGGGGTGGGTCTTGGAGAAATTCCGCTTCGGTCGGGCCAGCGTTTCGGGGCCAGCGTGGAGCCGCCGAGAAAATCTTCGTTTAGAAGTTGAACCGTCTCTTCAGGCTCCTCGGGACTCGGTATCCACTCGACGCGCCTCTTCTTCACGCTGCCGGGGATACGAGCCGGCGCTTCTTGAACCTCTTCCCTCTTCTGCCGCGGCACGGCTTCGTATATCCGCGTGTGTGAACGTGCTTCTGCAAGCTCCGCGGTAACTCGCATTGATTTATCGCGGTCAACTCTTCCTGGAGGAATAACCTCCGGGAGGAGAGCGAGACTGTCGCTCCGCGACGTGAATTATTTTGCGAAGATAGCGCGGCGTTGTTCGAGCTCTAGCGTCACGCTTTAGCTAGAGGTGGCTATGAATAGGATTATCGGTGACTTGCGTCAGAAGTAATCGTTTCTGAATATTAGTGTGTGATTGTGATTCCTGTTCGTATGGACGGTTGCTTAATAATGTGTACATTGCGTGGTAACGAGAAATCTCGGTTTTATATGAAGACACTTACATGTGCAAGTTCGCTAATCACCACAGCATTGAAAGAAATTTTTATAGTATTCCTAGCAAAAATGAAAAATGCTATAACATTTCTTCGATCTATTATTTTCCTTCTTAGCACAAAATTTGGATGTGTGGAAAATCGAGTAATTTGAGGGTAGTTTCTTTAAGATTCATTAAAATATTTAATATTATAACTGGTGCAATATTGGAGGCTACAGGGTTCAAAGGGTTAAAATATATTACATCACAATATGATATCTGAGTTTTTCTATGTATAGTGATATAAGTTGACTTCAGTGAAAATTGCCGTCCGCACAATTCAGTTTTCTGAAAATTAGCTGGTACGTAATGTGTTAATTACCGGGGTCGAAGTGACGTATTCCTGGTATCTGCAATTATTAAGATAACAGGTGTTTCTCTGGTAGATGATTAGAGAAATCGATTTAGCAATACGAAAAGTGAATTGCAAATAAGTTAGAGTTTCAGTTGATGTACTATTGCAATGTTTTTATAAAGAAATTTCAAAATGTCAGTTGTAGCTGTAGTGTTAAGATGATTAGATGGATGGTATAGTGTTGTCTAGAAAAGCATTAATTTCAGTTTAACATCCCTTTAGGCAATAAAATCTCCCTTTTTACTACTCCAAGTAGAAAGGATAATATATTCTTAGTTTTTTGTAATTGATATAGACAGACCAGCACCCACTGCCGCTAAGATTAACCGTCGCGCGCGGAGTACCTCAAAAGAGGCTCATTTAACTCCTCAATCAGCGCGTGTATATTCTGACCTCAGTTTCCAAGAGCTTGGTCTATTTCCCAAGCTTATGGTGGCTAACCAAAGGCTGCCGGTTCTTTTGTAGACACCGAGTTTCCTAAGAAGACTGATGTATCTCGAACGAAGCTACCAACCAGCATTCACGAGAAGGATGAATAAAAAGTCTGAATGAAACCAGGCATTTTTTAGACCAGCGTCTCGCAAACTACTAATCCCCGGTAAACTGAATACATTGTAATACTTACTCCGCAACCTATGAAACCAAAAAAACTTCCATAATCAATGTCCGAACCAGGCATTCTGAGACACCCAGAACATTCGATCGCTGTCCAATAGAAAAATTCTAAAGAACGTCGCGTTGCGAACGGCACAGAGGAGCATTCGCCGTATTAATACGTCCCTCGTGAAAAAGTTCGACATTTTGGACATTCAGTTTCGTTCTCAGTTTATTCTTTAGTTTATTCTCAGTTTATATTTCTATAAAATATATTGTTCTTATCGAAATTAATACAATCGTCTAACGACGATTCTGAACATTTGAATCAGAACTCGATGCAACGTTTCTCTTCGGATGAATCCACGCGCTGGACCCCTTCCATCTCCAGCTGCGTCTAAAACAAACCAGACTTTCTGAAACACGTAGAACATTCCATCGGTGCCTAATAGAAAAATTCTAGGGAACGTCGCGTTGCGAACGGCACAGAGGAGCATCCGCCGTATTAATACGTCCCTCGTGAATTTCATCGGCCGCGTATATGCCGTACGAATTTATTTATAGCGATTAAAAAGTGAGATTTCGATGTTTTATGCAGAAACTGAATGCCAAGTAGCCCCGTCGACAGCGGGGGCCAAATACGTCAGCCTAGTTCTTTGATGCACGACATGCGAGAGTGTGCTGGTGGCATTCACTTGCAACGGCGTGAAAAGTCTCTCGTTCCACGCTGCTACCAACCCCTCTCTTCCCACACTCTTTCTCTCTCTCTCACCCCATCCTTCATCCAACCCCGTAGCAGAAGCCCGATGCTACAGAGCTTCCACGTTTCCTCCCAGGCAGGGTCGTGCTCTTCTTTGCTCTCGTCTCTCGGTGAACCAGCCCCCACCAACCGGGATCCCGGTGTATCGAACGGGCTATGACGTCATTGAACTTTCTGTGACGTCATGCCAGCGGCGCTCATTCCGCGGCTCCGCGAACGTTCAGCGCGCCGTGTCGACGACCAACCCATACGAAGCCCTTCAAGGATCACGGCCAGATTCGTCTAATCCGGATATCGCTGACGACTTTCCAAGCGAAATTATTTCGGGATATCCAGCTCTCGGCGACCGGGAAACCGAGTCCGCGTTAATGCTCTCGTTGGGAGGTTAGATCGCTTGATACTGCCTACTCCGGCGCGGTAGATGTTGTCCTCATTAGCTTCTTTCGAGGATCTGGCTATTGAAATGATGGGAACATTAGCTGAAATCGATTCGACTGGTTCTAGAAACTTTCGTAGAGAAATTGCGATTTCTCCTTTGAAGCGGAAACTGGGTCCATTTTAACGAAAACGATCGAAATCTGTAAATCCTCTAAAAGAAAAGCCCTATTTAGAATCACTTTCTTGCTTATCTTCAAGGAATCTAACCGAAAGCTCAGAATCACGTTGAAAACTGAATCGAACAACGCAGTAGTGAAGCGTTGCGAAATGGGGTTGAATTAATGGAGGACCAAGCTGTTCCCGTTCGAAAGGGGTCGCGCATATTTAATTTCGTCGTCGGTTCGGTAGAAAGCGACGGAGCCCGTGGAAAGTTACTAGTCCCCGCGACCTTATCTCGTCAGCATTGTGCGGCGTGCGATTAGATTGCAGCCGTGGGGTTGCATCTACGGCCGGGTACCGGATGTTCCGGAGATCGGAGAGGCCGCTGGGTGGTGCCCGTGGGTGTCCCCGTTCGCGTTACGTCTCCGGTTACATCGGGTGGCCGAAACGTGCGCGGACAGTGCGGCACGTGGTTACCACGGGCGAAAGTTCGAGTCCGTGGAGGCGGCAGCGGCGGGAAGTCAGCGTGCCGGCAACCCCCGGGGACCATTGATCTGACGTTCCCGGCGGTGACGTCACGCGCGCCGAACAGAAGCGGGTCAAACGTCACGAAAAATGGCTCTGCACGCCGCTAGCTGGCTGCGATTCAAGGATGTATTGTATTTCGCTCTCATAAATCGATCGTTTAACGTCGTTCCTGCCCTAGCTGATAGGGGTATCCGGGCTTCATATTTGCATCCGCGATCACGCGTCCCATCGATCGGCCGTTTCCGGCGAACGGGTAACAACGGGACGAAAAGGAGGCAAGAAGAAACGTAACGGCGGCTGCCGGTGTGTCCTAGCTTCGTGACGCAGCGTTAGGGAAAGAGGTGGGAAGAAGGCGGTAGTGTACTCTCGAGAGGTCCTTGCGCTCGAGGGGATTCAATTGCCTGTTTTCCGGCGCCCTCGTGTCGGGGAGTAATAACACGTTGAATTTTCAGAGATATTATTACGTAACGGCGCACTCTCGCGACGCGAGTTCGCGCGGCACAAGAACCCCGACCGCTTTTGTGTGTCGGGGGCCTCGTTATTTCGAGGGGACCTCGGGTACACCCGCGCTCGTTACCGCCGCGCATTGAATCGCGACTGCTTCGTGTATCCTTCTTCCCGGCGAGTCCGTTCATCAGCGCCGTTATCTTGTCCGGGTGCTGATCGATGTCGTTAGATCGCTTCTTTGGGATCGTTAGATTAGTCAGTGTCTTTTGATGGTTTCACCGTTGGTCACGGGTAGTCGGGACTATGATTAAACGGCTCTCTTTTATCTTAACACGTTCGCGGACAGTGGAAATTTTAATGAGCCGCGAAAATAGAGGAAATGCAAATGCCTTCGGAGGGTTAAAGTGCATAATTTCAAGAAATTGAGGCTATATAGAATGAAATTCATGGCAATGTGCTTTATAAGTTTCAATGTTGCATTCATGTCATTTTGCATCACAATGGAAATCTACAGCGTTCACGTTCGCTAATGTTTTAAGTTCGTTATTATGTACTTTGTATAATATGAAAATTCGATGAAAGTAGATTAGAGGTGAATGCTCTTATTGTTGAGTTTCATCGTTTCCCTTTTGTAGGCTTCCCTTTCGAGAAGCAGGTTTAGGGAAAAAAAGAAACGATGGACTGCGAAGGCGTCGAGTGCTATCGGCTGAAATGTTGACAGTGTCAACAAGAATGACGAGGTGATCCGCGATGATATCGAAAGGCTGGACCATGAAACGCGGGGGCGTATCTACCCTGACCTTTCGCCCGGTGCCAGGATCGACCTGCCCGCGTAAATAACGCAATTCCATCGCGTTTGCAGTTTCAATTCGCCTGATCTAATAGATAAAAGACCCTCGGCGTGGCACCGGATCGAGCGCGGGTGTATCGAGGCCTCGTGACGGGTGGGTCGCGCGTCAGACTCCGTCGATGAAGCGCGTACTTCCGTGATATAACGTTCCTGGTACACGTGAAAAGTGAGTTCTCCCGTGGAAACGGTTTTTCCTGTCCGATGTACGCGAGACCATTTATATCCTTGTAAGTTGCCACGGCTGACTGCGAGCAGGTGTTCCTTGATAAATTGTCCCTGAATTATTTAAGAGGTACACTCAATATTTCTGTCCGCCTTGGGCTGGAAAGCGGACGGCTACTCTCGGCGATAATCGAACCAGAGTAATCCTTGTTAATTGAAACTGATGGAGATTCGGTTTGCGGGTAAACGCATTTCACGCTGGCAACGCAAAAATACTCTGTTATCAGTGAACGTTTCGCGTAACGATTCATTTTTATGCCTCTCATTCTTTAGACTTTATTATTTCGAGCGAAACATCTCGAATCAAAAAGTATTCTCGAAATCCTCTTTGAGCAGACACGCTTAACCCTTTGCGGACGAAGATTCTTTGAAACATAGGAAACCTTCAGCAGATGAAGTTAAATTATATATCGGTTGCTCAAATGATACAAAGGGAAGAAGTTATACTGATCTCTCGCTGTTCGAGTAATTGAATCATTTGCCACTTACTCTTCCGAATACGGAAATTTGATCTCGCCGGAATGTCGACATTCGTCCGCAAAGGGTTAAAACTAGGTTTACGGAACGCGTGAAATTGACGCATATTGGATTTTAGAAATATTATTTTGTAAATGTTTACGCCGCTTTTGATTGATGCGATCACACTGACATGTACCCCAATTACCTACTATCAAATCTCCAGTTTCCACAATCTAAATAAACGAGCATCAATTCTTTTAGGAATAATTGAATGAAGTGTACAATAAATGCCCGTAAACCTAGTGTTAATAAAACTACCAAAGAAACTCCAAGCAAGATCTTCCGACTCTCGGAAAAAGAAGCCTACTAAAATAATTCACAAAAGAGAATCCTCGTCGGACACAGGGAAGTCCTTGTAGATTGGAATCGCGGTTCCTATTTAGCCGAAGTCGTCCGTCCCCCGTTGAAAGGAGTCCACCCGTGCTCGTCCCTGCAGTTCACTAACCCTAATATCGTACTCGGCGAGTCCCCAGGAGAGATGAGACCGGTACATCCTGGGGACAGAGGGGCGAACGGGGTGGAAGAACAGAAAAAAGCCGTGGAGGCAGGGATGAGGACAGGTGGAGAAGAGGGAATCCAGAGAATAGACCGACATCAGCGGATCTACCAAACAGTCATGCGTTGTGGGTGAGGAGAGTGTGCCCGGAGAGCAAAAGGGTGCGAGGGGGCGAGGAAGTCGTGGCTCGGGGGCGCGGGGTGCGCAGATTCCCTCGTTTCTTCCCGGGTGGTTCTATCCCTCCTCCCTTTATCGATCCTACTCCGGCGGCAGCAGTAGCGCAGCATCGTCGGCAGAAATCACCCAACGATGTCCGTACAACCTCAGTGGATATCCGGCCACTACGCCGGCAGAACAGCTTCGATCGCCGGTTGCACGATGTTCCACGCATTGCGTCACGCAGTCACGTCCGGATGCACTCGCTTCCATTGCCAGGCCGACGGGATGTAGCCATGAACACTGTGACCTGAGAGAATGAATTAGACTTTCCCCTTGGACTCTAGTTTCATGGTACCTCTAATTAGGATTCTAGTTAGTATGATCATCGAAGGTCTTAAATATCCTCTGATCATTAGAGGATCATTACTTATCACTCGTCACTGAATTCAACAGATCTTGCGACCTGGCGAAAGGGTAAATTCTAGCAAGTGATGATTAACGTTTTATATCTTCGAAAGAATCAAAGCAGATCGACTTATCAATAGACAGATAGATCTCAAAGAAGCTACGATCAAATCTGCATTATTAACCCTTCGAACTCTGTAGGTTCCAATATTGCACCAGTTACAATATTAAATATTTTAACGAATCAACGAAACTACCCTAAAATTATTAGACTTTCGACACATATAAATTTCGTACTCAGAAGGAAAATAAAAGATCGAAGAAATGTTATATTTCTCATTTCCGCTAGGAATACTATAAAAATTAGTTGCAGTTGCTAATTACAAAACAACCTGGAGTGCTGTTAAACCCAACTCAAACATCCCTAATTCAAAGCTCGGTGGACCCTAGACTCCACGCAGCTCCTAAAAATCATCCCCGTCCCCCAGAAACCGTGTAAAAAATGTGTTGCCCAGTGCCGTGGGTTGCAAATTCAATTGTTCCCGCATGCATAGGTATCCAGAGCCCCGGTATAGGTACAACCCTGGGGGCGCGTGCGTTGTACGGCGGGCCAGAGCCCCTGTATAGACGGCAGGCTGCGCTCGCCGGTGCGCGGCGGCCCGTGTCGCGGCCTGTAGACCGCCAAAAAGCATCGAGGTCGAGCGGGTGGCGGCGAGGCGAGCCGACAGGGGCCGGAAACGGCCGGAGAGGTACGAACACCCGCGAGCCAGGGCTCTTGCGCGGTTTGCCTCGCTGCAGGCGCGCAGTGCAGCCGCCGGTACACCGCCAAGCAACACACTTAGTCGCGGCTCGGCGATGTTTCAGCTGAGCTGAGCGCACGAGGGACGCTCGTGTCGCCGGCGCAGGCGGGTTTTCACTTCGTGGTGGTTCCTCGGTCCCCCCGGTCGTCTTTCGCTTGACCCCGGTCCGCGTCTCGTTTCTGTGGTTCCAGCCGAGAGCACCATCATCATCCGCACCAACCCTGCCTGGCGGGCCGACCACTGCGTAAGTGCACCGTGGCGATCCTAGTGTCGACTAGATCACAGTGCGAGTCGATCAGATTCACGTTTTGTTCATGGATGAATAGGAAGCTTCGTGTTCGACGTGTCAGCTGGGTTCTCCGGAGATCGTTGGGAACTTAGGGGACACCGTAGCGACCCGACTGCTTGCTCTATTAAGTATGAACTCGTAGTATCAGTGCATTCGAGGTAATACTGTGATTGTTTGTACGCTGTGATCGGATTGTTGATGAGTCGAATGGGATTGTATTGTTGGATTCGGTCGGGTTGAGAGATTGGTTTTATGGATTATTGATGAGGTTGTTGGGATCTAGGGGTAAGAGAAGAGTTACGTCGGAAGAGTAGTCTTGGGTTTGTTCTGTTTGGCTGGGTAGTGTTCTAGTTTTGAGAGGTTTGTAGAGGTCGATAAGTGTCGGGAAGTTTTAGAATATTCGAGTATGCTGTGTGTGTTGGAACAAGTTAGGTTCATTGATGGGACGTCGCGTTTAGTGACGAGAATGAGCTGCTTTTTTTCCTTTTTCACACTTTTCGTTCGTACATGTCGCTGCTGGTGTCTCCGTGTTTCGTAGGGTCGGCGTGTGTTTACGTACGCGGGTCGAATCATTGACTGCGTTCTATTCCTGGCGGAAAACTACAACCGTAGGCCGCGTAATTGGAAACAAGCAGCTCTCGCCGCAGCCTCGATATTATCTCCGTTCGTTTCCGTGGCGATTGATCGACGCGATCGTCGAATCGCTCGACTCTCCGCTGCGTGCGGGTTAATTGTATTCAGTTTCCGATGGAACGTCTCGACCCTCGATCCCCTCGAAAGAATAATTCAAACGACAGCGTGCGACACTGCATCGCAGCGGGAACCCAATCGTCCCGATTATTCGATGACGAGAACGTCACGGGATTCGTTCATTCATCTAATCACAACAATCACTGTAACATTACATTCCAAACGTTTCCAGAACACAATCTCGACAGACTATCCAATACTCAATTCAATGTCAACTCCGAATCTTCACAACTCAATTATCGTATCAATCAAATTAATCAACAGACAAGACAATAACTAATGCTACAGAATCATCAGTCAAGTATCGAAACCATCCACACGAAATCCTCGAATTGTATCACCACCGAGACACTACTCGCTTAAGAATTGACTATGGATCAGAACGAATCGATGAGAATTTCGCGTATTCAACGGCATCGGGTTTCGCGCGATGCCGTCACGTGACGACGAGGCAGAACGAGCGGGTAGAGATCGATCCTAATCGTGCAACACGGCAATCGAACGTTACTGAACAACAGGGAAAACGGGCGTAAAAATAGAAGGCGACAGGACGTGTACTTGGCCGTAGCCTATCCGGCCACGATGTTATCCTGCCGCGGCAGCCGTCCTTGTTCTTGCCGACCGCCATTGCGACATGTCAAGGCGAAACGCATACGTACGTGTAATATTAGATCGGTACGATAGCCCTAGCTCGACGCGGCCAGCGACGTAATCGTTTCTCCGTACCGCATTTGACGAACGTCCGACAACGACGGATGGCTCCTCCCCCGGTTTCGGGGTCTCATTGGCTGCGGTGTTCTCACGTGATTCGCCCCTTTCGGCACTCCCGCAGGACTACAAGCATTATCCTTCCGCTACCACCCGTCCCAATTTCGCAGACGTGCCGCGACGCGTTTCTGGAATTTCAATGGATCCCCGCGTGCTGTCGGCTCGGCTGGCAACCGTGTGGATATCGATAGAGACACGCTGCTGCGAAATTGTTTGGTCATTTGCATGATAATCGCTGGATTGAGCACTTGTTTGTAGACCCGGGCTCTTAGATACTGGTTGAATCGAAGGAAATTACGTAGGATTTCACTTGTATAGTTCATTGGGATCTTTAGAATGTTGTAGAAGACGTTGTAAATGTATATTTCTAGTTTAGCGATCACTGTTTAGAAGAGAAGAAGCTTCTTTGGATTATTGTTCGTTTATTCCATCGTACTTGCTACGTTGCTCGAATGTTAAGCTAATTTTGAACACTGCTGCTTGAAAAATTTGGTTTCTATTGCCGCCAGTAAAATGTTATCAACAATAATTGCAATAAATCTTCCATTAGTCATATATTATAAATGTGATTATTTTAGATTGATTTAACTCACTTCAATTTAGTGTTTCCATGCTTTCAATACGCTTTCTTAGAAATACTTCTTGACGCAACATTCTACCGTAAAGGATTAAAGATCAGGAGGCTTTCGAAATTTTTAAATTAAGATTTTAACTCTTTGCACTCGATAAACTATTGTATTTACGATTTAACCTTGTATACTGCATCAATACGTGAAATATTGAAAAGAAATAGCTTTGTCCCGTAATTTATGTGTGATTTCTTGACAAATTTATTTTAAAGAATCTTGTAAACATCTAACTAGAAAGTATTGAATATTTCAAGCGGAAAACTTTCGAGTGCAAAGGGTTAATCCTGTGACAGTAGTAGTATCAGTCGACGCTGAGTTTAAGACTGTCCGCCCAACGCTGTCCGCTTCTACTGCAACCGTGCAGATGCATCTACACAGACTGAAATCGTAGATTTTTATGAACAAATTGCGAGTAAGTTTTCAATATGGTGTCGCAAAGAAAGTTTGTAAAAAGGGTGGAAACGGTGGGTCCGCGGAAAGTTGAACTCTGAAAGAGGGTCGACGAAATGGAGAGGAAAAAAAATGTTTCCTCACGGTCTAAATGAAGTCAGCTCGCTGGCTTCCGGTTCCTCGAAGTATTCGAGGGACCTAAAAACGTACGGACGACCTTGCCCTTGCTAGAAACGCAATGAATCCCCGAGGTGGCGTATGTTTTCATAGCGTCGGCCACGGGTCGTACAACAACCAGTCGATATATTGATTCATTTCCGATAATATATTACCTCCCAAGGTGATAACGCGTGCACTTGTGTGCGTGTGCGCCGTCTACGCACCGCGTCGTCTTTCATCCGACGGTATCTATCTCCGCGTTAATCATTGCGACGGACACCGGCGGTATCGCGGGGTTTTGTAGACGGATTTCAATTAGCGCAACCAATTAGTACGTCGAGCGACGTTTGATTCGTCCCATCGGCTTCCATCAGGTCGCTTGAACCTTCGAATCGATGAGAACGTGGCTGTAGACAGTCACCAATGCAACAAAATTGTCTTACGATCGATCGTTGGACAATGGAAATGATTTTGTACCTTTGCCTCGAATCGTATTTGTACACTTTGCTACTGACTTTGTTTCTAAGTTATTCGAAGCATAGGAGGGTAGGTTTGAAAGTTGAAACATGTAGTTAATTTTACACCGTTGTCGATGGTAAATGTCCTGTATCGCGTTCTTGGCACACGCGGGCGGATTTTTAATTTTAGATGAAAATTTCGTGTCACTGAGATGCGGCATCGTCTTGACCGCGATGCCGTGTAATTACACAATGAAAGAGTGACATTTGCAATGCAGATTCGATCACCGCGGATACCAACCATAGTCGGCTGCGCAAACACGAGGGGCTGTTTGTTCTGCGAAATGATTGGCACACAGCAATAAGTGCCGTGTTGACCCTGTTGGACCCCATACACCGAACCAAACAAACTTCCGCCGATGTTTCTTTAATACAATTCCAGCCCCGTGTTTATCGTGCGAATCAAAATTAACTGGTTTTCTGATCAGCCTGATTTCCCCGATGAAGTGGTCCTTCCGGCGGCCATTGTTGCTGTGTTTCGAACCTCGAGTGCAGTTGAAGTCAATCTGACCTAAATTCGAACCGTTGTTACAAACTTTCTCGACATCATTCCCGAATACCCAATCAAAGAGAATTTTATTTTCTTCGTTAATAACTCATCAACTCAACATTCGAATCAATACTACATTCAATTACAATTAAACTTTATATATTCTACATTTCATTGCCCTTGAATAGAAGTCTTCAGTCTACAACTCAATGTTCCCTTCAATCGCGAACCAATTACTTCGATCCACGAAATATTTGTGCAACGATACAATTATTTAGGGTCCAATTAAAATACATAATCTTCAATAAATCAAATAAACCTGGACGAAACGGTCGCTGATGGATTCCACGCTCGTCCCAGGCCCGATCGCGGGGAATTCGATCGGCCAATCAGTTTGTAACCAATTAACGATATTACATCGTTCCGAAAGTGATACGCGGCCCGATCCATATCGCTGCAGACAGCGGGGGTAATCGGATCAACCCTGTCGCCAGGCCGCGCAGCGCGCAGAGAGACGCAGTTCTCGCATCTCCGCGCGAGCCGCAATGAACGAAGGGTGCACGACCCAGCCGGCACGGCCGCAGCGATATAGAGCGGGCCGCCGTGTATTTCTAGAGCAGCCGGTTAAGAATAGAACGGCAAATAGACGGCTGAATTAAATATAGCCGGTGAACGACCCGCAAGTAGATTACGAAATTTCATTGAAGTCACGGAAGTCCAGAATAGCGACCAGCTATTTCTTCGCGCTCTTCGCGCTGAAGTTCCTTTTCACCGCGGGCTGCGCGGCTGTTTAGGTCTTCCACTAATTGAGATAAGGAGCAACACTTCTTCGCAGCCTTGGAGATCTTACACGCGATAGAATACGAATTCGTAATTACACTTTGGGAACGTTTCGTTCTAAACTCGTGTAATCCTCTCGCAACCGTTGCAACGACTATGACACGAGTACAATAGAGAACGTCAACTTCGGTAGCCGAATTTCTAAAGTACTCTAATCCTCAATTACTCCGAAGATTAGAATTAACCCCTTGCCGTACAATGACGTGAGACTCGTGATGAAGATTTCTAGACTAATTTAATAACAATCAGTGTTATTCATTCAAAGAAAACTATTTTGCTATTATCATTTTATTGTAGTATCTAGAATTTTTAACGTGGGTTAAGGTATTTTTAAGAAGAGTGATTGTAAGAATGAGTATGAGTGAAGGGCAGGCTGTAAAATGGTCGAGGGAAAGTGGCCTGCACAACGTCACGGACTCAAGACTGCAGGGCCAGCTTTCCAGTGAGAAGAATGCTTGTGGGGGAGAGAATGATTTTTGGGAGAGAATGTCTGTAAAAGAGTGGTAAGAGAGTGGCGAGGAAGAGTCGTGTGTTGGCATCCGTGGCATTGAGTTGTACTTTTTACATGTTGTCCGTGTTGTTTCCATATTTCATTAAATACATATATTTATTCCTAGTTCTTGATTACTGAAGATCCACCTTTTCAGTGCCTATAATATAATAATAGCCAAACACTACAATATCATCTTCAAATAAAGTTTCTACTTGAAGAATGGACAATTCTGTTGCATTTCTTCCAAATTGTCGATAGTAAAATACATGAGCTTAGTGACGAAAACAGTACGCCAAGGGATTAAAAGACAAACTTCCTCGAATCACCAGGAACACTCGGAAGCAGGTAGACGTTCAAATACAAATCCCCGGATCGAAGATTCGGAAGCGAAAATCCTTCAACCGAACGTATTCAACGTTCCTCAAAAAAGATTCCCGGGATCCACGCGATATCTTTATCCGCCAATCCCCCCGGTCCCCGTCGTCCGAGGGGAAAAGAAACAAAGGCACCGGTGGCAGGATAAAAACGAAGATTACGGATGAATATTCCGATAACGAATGTCGCTGCGGAACCGCGAGCAAGATAGAAGATAATTCCGCAGCGTCCGATGCAGAGACACCGCGCCGCGTCGCGTCGCATCGCGTCGGGGCTATCCTTCTCCATTGATACCGGTGCTCATCAGCTAAATGCGATGTTCCCGGGGTACATTTGTCACCGGACGGGTCGCCGGAGCGGTTCCGTGCTCGTTTCGCCCGGAAGGATCCCTCGTCTCTCATTTATGGTCGGCGGAGCTCGCGCAGAAATATCCCGGGGAATAATTGGCGAGCGGGTAAAAGCTCCGTCTCTCTCTCTCTTTCCCGAACGAACGAACGAAGTGATACCGTCGCGGCCGCCGAGTGTGTCATCTGCAACGGAAAGCCATTTCGTCGCGGACGTTTCCACGGTCGACGTTAACGAGGATTATAAATATCGACGAGAGAGAAAGGAAACACAGGCGGCGAGGAGGGAGGACGGTGGGAAAATTGTAAGGAACACGAAGAAAAAAAGGGGAGAACGATTCGATGGAAATCCAATAGCCGATAGAGCCGTCCGACCGGTGACCTAAAATTCGCCTCGTTCACCTGAACTCTATCAGAAAACGGGGAATTGCACGCGCGAACGGGCAGAACGGTTGCCCACGCTTTTCAACGTCTCTGTATCGCGCTCGTCTCGCGCTCGAGGACACCTGGGAAAGCTGGCGACTGTAGCCGAGCGTCGATTCGCTGTATCGATGAGGGGGGGAACGACGGGATTCTGTGATTGATAGATCGGAGGTACGCTCGTGGACGTTGTCTCAGGGAGTTTTTCCGTTGGACGGAACTTAAATTGATCGTTGAATGTGAGATTATGGTAGAAAGGAAATTGGATGCTGGAAATAGGTGGAAGAGTAATTTAGAACGCTCGCGTTACTTGTGATTGATAGGTTTTTTTTAGTTGGTGAATTTAAGTGAATAACGTGTAGATGATTGGGATTTTCTGTGGAGAGATAGTATTCAGAGTTCATACACTCCGGTACGAGGTGTCGTACGTTCATCAGGTCGTGGTTGATTAATTGCCAGGGACAAATGATCCATTACGAGGCTGCGTTTCTATGTCAGACGCGTGCCGGGTAATAGGAAGTGTAACCGTGCCGTTTCAATATCCAGAATGAAGCGCATTGTGCCGGTATAGACCATTGTCTGACTGCGACAAGAATCGTACACGGTGTCATTAATTAATCTGCATTGAGTGGGTCTTCCATGGTTCTTCTGAAGAATGAATAATTCAATACGCGGGATTTACGTGAACAGCCGCGTACTGTGTATCTTCGTGACACTAACACATGGAATACCTGCATTAAACTAAACGAACCTTCGACTTCTACGCAACTACAGACGGGTGATGTTATTTAAACAATCTACACAAAATACGAACAGATTTTCGATTCATCAGTAATTCCTTTTACTTAAACTTCTACAGTCCATTCTATTAGAATAGGATCCTACCATCAAGTTAGTCGATGAATAATATTAATACTTTTAATCTAACTTCTCTGTATCACAGTGTCTTGTACAATTCATTCTACTAGAATAGGATCCTACCATCAACTTAGTCGATGAATAATATTAATACTTTTAATCTAACTTCTCTGTATCACAGTGTCTTGTACAATTCATTCTATTAGAATAGGATCCTACCATCAACTTAGTCGATGAATAATATTAACACTTTGCACTCGGAAGGCGACTCTTAGTCACTATTTGATTTGACGTGGTAAAATTATAAAATCCGATATTTAATGTTGAACTTTTTATGATGCCTTGATACGTGAAACATAGGAATAAAACTCCTATGAGTTCCTCTAGTGAGAAACTTCTGAGTGCAAAGGTTAACACTAAAACAGAGCAGTTAATCTGACATTTCCAAAATTCCTCTATAATAACCCCAAGAGTGTATCCATCGAGAATTTCATTGATCTACAATTCAATTTGCCTAATACTAAATCAATTCCATTAATAACTGCTCAGAGAAACATCTGTTATCTATCTAATAATTATAACAGAAGTTCAGGACCGTCATTCTGATCCGTCTGTTTTAGTGTCAACCTTTTGCACTCGGAAGCTTTTTACTAGAAATATTTGACAAACTATTTGAAACGCACTAATGAGAAAACATACATAAATTAAGAAACAAAGCTATTTATATGATGCATTACACAAAACATAATATCACATATAACACTTTGTAATTTTGTTATATCAAATCAAATGGTAACTGACAGTCACCTCTCATTCACCATTTGATTCCATACAGTAATACTACGAAACTTGTTATTTAATATTACACCCTGTATGATGCATCAATTTGAGAAATATTGAAATAAAATAGCTTCGTTCCTCGATGTACGTGTGATTTCTCTTCGAGTTAGTTTCATAAAACATTGTCTTTATCCCATTAGGAAATCTTGAAATATTTCTAGTGAAAAACTTCCGAGTGCAAGAGGTTAATACTTTCTAACTTCACTGTATCACACTTCACAGCGCAGTAACGCTGATACAACTACCCCAGTGTGGGAGTAGGGTGTGAAATGACTGACACTATTCAACAGTAACACTTATTTATCAATCAACACTTAAAAAGTACGCGGAAGGAACGTGAAGTGACTCTTGTTCACCCGCTTCATCCCACATCTTTGTCCGCAGACAAAGATATGAGGAGCATGGAAATCCCCGTGATTCCGTTCGGAAAGTAAGGTTTTCCTCCGATATTTGCTTACCTGGGCTAGAGCATCCGTTCGGCAAGAAAACCTTCTCTGCGTTCTGTTATGCCGCAACACCCAGCTTCCCCGGGACTAAGATTACATTCGCGTGTATTTCCCGTTGTAGGTGATCGAAGATGCCAGCTGTACCAGCAGTGGCCGAGGCCGCGGGTCAACTGGAGGACCTGGACGAGCCGCCAGAGCCGCGGGTCCGCGGCCCCAGCGGAAGGGCCGGCCTGATGAAGCCTCTGGTCGTGTTGGCGCTTCCTGGCATGTACCTCTTCTACAAGTACAGCCAGTATAGGCGGGAGCAGCGCGAGCTGTCCCGCAGAAGGGTGACCGAGAGGGAGCTCCAGCATCTTCATCACAAAATCGTGAGTAACCCAGAACTTCAATAGCCAAAGGCGCCGCCGCCGGCCTCTGAACCCTGTCTCTGCGCGAATTCACGGCTCCTCCTCGCTAGAATCTTACGGAACAGTCCTGTTTGCGCTGCTTGGCGCCGGGAAGAGGGACTACGATACCTCCGGCGATCTTGCTTGTCCCACCTGTTGTGCCCTTGCGGCCGGACTATATTTAAGAGCAGATCAATTCGATATTTCCTCTAAATGCAGCCCCCACATCGGGATTCATTATAATTTCATAAGAAACCGAAACTTTTTTCTCCGCTTGATTGGATCCTCTTGTCTTCATTCAACACTAGCGAAGTTTCTCTTGTATTCAGGAGGGAATCAAATTGTTGACTCGATGCAGAGGGATCGTTTCTCTCTTTGTAGTTTCGAGCAACCTCAAATCAGTTTAACACTACGTTTACGGAACGCGTCAGTTTGACGCAGATTGAATTTTATGAACATTATTTGGTAAATGTTTCGATCGGTTTTCGTTGATCCAATTACACGAATATGATTCCTGATTGTCTGTTTCTACATCTACAATTTCCAAAATCTAAATGAACGAATATCAACTTCCCCAGGAACAATAGAATAAACTGTACAATAAATGCCTGTAAACCTAGTGTTAACTCTTTACGGACGAATGTCTACATTTCAGATGAAAGTTTCGTATTTAACCCTCAGGCGCAATGTGAGTAAGAACAGGATCCGCATTGTGCGTAATAGGCCAGTTTTACAAAAACAAACTTTTTACTCGAATAAAAACATGTTTATTATTCCATTTGCTCTACGACATTGGCGAAAACAATTTCTGAACATTTATTACAATAAACAGTAGCATGTTCCATACATAATGCACGTTTACACTTGCTGCACTCGTATCCTGATAAGCGACGTCGCTATCCGTAGTGCATGCAATGCACCTTCTCCTCTTGCTAGGCGTTTCCAAAGTTTCCTCTTTATCCTCTTCTACATTTTTAGATTCTACTGCAATCGGGCGCAATGTACCTAAGAGACACAAAGTGCTGTGACTCGCACACACAATGTTCAAATGCGTACTGTGCATTATAGGTCGCTGCAGAATGTAAAAACAAAAAGCTACTGAGGCGACCGAGCGGTAACGAGCATTCGTTTTGGTAGGACAAAACAACAAACATTGAGTGTGCCTGTTAGATCAGTTGCGCTCGACTGAGGGTTAAAAAACTACATCGTGGACGAATGATTTGATTACTCACAGCAAGATATCAGTACGCAGTTTTCTTTTTTTATATTAACCCTCTGTTAACACACATCAATATACTGGGTTAAATTGATTGATTTAATTTTTTATTGAAAACTGACGAATGCCATGAAATAGTTGATCAACTTAAACTTTCGTATACTCAGCAGTTTACGTTCAACGTCATTGTAACTTCAAAGCTACAAGATACATTCGTTAGAATAAAATTATTAAAACTATTGAATACACTGATAATTTCTGTTCATATGTTGATATTTATTAATGTCATACTGCATCAGTTTTGTTATAATCACGAAATAAAATTCGGCCCACAGAGGGATAATTAAGCAATTGACAAGTAATTCAGCTTCATCTGAAGGTTTCGTATATCTTACAGAATCTCCGTCCGCAAAGGGTTAATATGTAATTTCTATAAAAATTGTAACACTACTTTCAATTACTTCAGACGTTCATTGCAATACTCAAGTGACACTCTTAATTGTCAAACTCATTTCGATTGTTCTCTGCTCTGAAGACACCAATAACTACGAAACAACAACACTGGAACCAATCATTTTTTCTAATACCATAGTTCTTGTCCTATGTTGGTCTCTATCTGGATAGAAAGAGAAGCAGGATACTGAAATTAAACCTTTCGAATAGATTTGTGAATTATAGAGTATAGAAGAAATAGCGGAATTGAAAGGTGAATCCTTTCCGTGGACCTGTTGCTTAAAAAGTTGAACGAGGCCAAAGTGCATAACGATTCGGTGGTTAACGACGAGTACAAGGGTTTCTGGGGGTGGTGTCGAAATAACCAGGCCGAAAAGGGTGGGTTAAGATGTTTAATTAGCGGCTGTTTTGGTTGGCGTCCCTTTGTGCTCGCTGAACGAGGGATGGATCGTCGGATCGGTGCTCGCGAGCGCCTCAGATGCAGCGATGACTGCGATTATCTAGGGACGATAGCTAGGATGAGTCTTCAGATACGTATTCAGGGGGATACGCGCGGAAGGATGAGGAAAGGCGAGAGACTAGAATGACCCGGGCGTGAAGGAGAGGGATGAAGGGTTCAATTACCCGGGGTTAACGCGATCACCGTTCACTGGAAAGACACTGCGTCATCCCCCTAAAAGCTAAAACCATTTATTACTCTCCCCATACATCCCCTTATCGAGTGTCCTCCTTCCATCGGAGGTCCCTGGTTATATCGCGTCTTGAAACACAGCTTGCGCATTCATTACTATTTATCTTCGGGGACATTCTTCCGTACTTAACGATTTCGAAGCGCGACAGAAAGTAGAGCGACGGAATTATGATCCGAGTATGTTAACCCTTTGCACTCGGAAGTATTTTGTTAGCAATATTTAATACTTGGCCAGCCGAATAGGGAGATCTCCCACTTTTCATTTAGCAACGTATTGCTTTTTACTCTGTTTATCTTTTCTTTTGTTATTTAGTAAGTCTTGACGTGGGATTATTTGCAATTCATCGAATACGGTTCTTGTTTTTACGAAACATAGTTTTTAAATTAATTGAAGGAGTATAATTGAAGATAATGGAGAAAGTTGTAGTTATAGTTCTTTCCAGGTCGCCTAAGTAACATTTCCTAACTAGACAAAGACGATGGGATTTTTTAAATGAATTCGAAGAGAAATCACTGGTAAATTGAGAAACAAAGCTTTTTTATCCTGATATTTCGCGCACTGATGCATTATACGTAGTTCAATATTAAATATTAAATTTTCTAATTTTACTGCGTCAAATCGAATGGCGACTGGGAGTCACCTCTCGAGTGCAAAGGGTGAACACATTACGTGTTAATTTTCAGAAAACTGAATTGTGATGGCAATTTTCACTGAGGTCAACTTATATCACTATACATAGAAAAACTCGGATATCATATTGTTATGTAATATATTTTAAATAGGTAATCAATTCGAATTAAATTTTATATTTTTTCAATACTGTGGTAATTAGCGAAGTTGCACAGGTAAGTTTTATATAAAAACGAGTTAGTGTTAGTGAGCTAAAAATATTGCACAATGAAATTTGAAACGCTTCTCATGGTTCTGCAATATTTAGACGTCGGTATAATCGCAGGAATCAATTATAGATCGCACAGGTTTCGAATAATGTCGAGAGTTAATTGAATAAATTAGCTAAATTCATACCTGAATGATTTATTTGCGGAACGAACCGGTTGTCGAAATTATTCCATTCGAAAGATCGAGACAAAGCATACTCAGGCTTCGTCGAGATCCATATCTAAATGAGAAGACTGATTCCGAATGCTTATTAAGTACTAGTCGGAATCAGGAAGTGAACAAAGATTGACCGAACGGGATCCTTGATAATGTCAAGAGATAATTGAGCCCGTTCTTTAAACCGGAATTACTTTAACGACCAACCGGGAACATCTTCCGCGGGCGTATCTCGCGGCGCCGAAGATTTATGTGCAGAAACTCTGAATGCCTATTGATTTCCGTGGCCCAGGACGATGTAGCAGCTGACTTAGACCGGGTACCCATTAGCGAGACACTCCGGCCCCCTCGAATCGTATATCGATGCCGAAGAAATTCAATATCGGCCCGTTCCGTCGGGGGAAATAAGGAACAATCGATCGTCCGCGACGTATCCACTGTACCTCTGTCCAATTTGCAACGTCGTTTCGGATCTCATGATCGAAGTTACAGCGTTAAATTATTCAAAGAACCGTAAGAATCGCTTTGCATTCGGTCTAAAATCCTCTTGCTCCTCGACCAAAGAAGTAAGAGCATCCTTGTATCCTTCGAGTCCGACGTCTTTACCTCAGACATGCCAAACAATTGCACAATTCCAATTCACAGGATACTTCATGCTTAACTCTTTGAAGTTAGGCGGGTTCAAAACCGACCCATCCTTTACTTACTTTTTTATGGGGTATAAAGTCTCGATAAATACAACCTTAGAGTTTTAACACTAGGTTTACGGGCATTTATTGTACAGTTCATTCTATTATTCCTAAAAGAATTGATGATCGTTTATTTAGATTGTGGAAGCTGGAGATTTGATAGTAGGTAATTGGGGTACATGTCAGTGTGATCGCATCAATCAAAATCGGCGTAAACATTTACAAAATAATATTTCTAAAATCCAATATGCGTCAATTTCACGCGTTCCGTAAACCTAGTGTTAATAGAAGAATTTTAGAAACTCAATTGAACTGCTAATTTTAGTGTTAACCCTTAGCAGTCCAGATGGTTTTGTAATTTATCACCAACTGCGACTAATTTCTATGGTATCTCTAGTGAAAATGAAAAATGCTGTAACATTCTTTCGATCTTTTATTTTCCTTCTCAGTAGAAAATTTCGATGTGTGGAAAATCGAATAATTTTAGGGGAGTTTCTTTGATTCGTTAAAATATTTGATATTATAACTGGTGCAATATTGGAGCCTACAGAGTTCAAAGGGTTAACCCTTTGCACTCGAAAGTTTTTCACTGGAAATATTTAACACTTTTCAACAAGATACAGACGACACTGCTTGAAACTAAATAATTCACGGATAAATCAAGCGACAAAGTAATTTTATTTCAATATTTCCTATAGCAATACAAAGTTCACTTAAAATACTAAATATTCAATTTTATTGTTCTGCTGTATCAAATCAAGTGGTGACTCACCTCTCGAGTGCAAAGGGTTAAAATTGCCTCAAAGAGTTCAACCCTTTTCTATACACAAATTCAAACTTGAGTACAAACGATGGACAACCATAGGAATCCTAAGT